TAGCATACTTAGGTGTGAATGTTTATTTAATTTGTAAGTAGGTAGAGACCGGAGAAATCGCGCGATTGTAATTTCCACTCAGGAGTGGACAATTTCTTCTTCGGATATTATACAAAGTTTCAGCAAGCTTTAGATTCATTTATCATTTAAATATTTCTTGTATTTTTTCCATATATTGCTGATACTCTGTACCGCGAGATATAAATCAGTATCGAACGATTCAAAAGTCTTTGCGTTTTCTTAAATATTAATTCTTTTTCGAAAAAGTAAAGATAGCTGAATACGTTGGATACTTACTTAATATTAAGTATATTAACGCTTTGCTTTTTAGTAATTCCTACTGAAAATACTTCATTTGTTATATATGCATAGTAACTACAAAGTAGAGTAAAGATAATAGAAAAAAGTGGTCGAGTAAAAAAGTAAGACCATAAGATGTATTACWAAGTTTCTGCTTTTGTTTGATATTATTTAATTTTTTAAATGCAAAGTGTTAATAATAGGTTCATCGATTAGATCAAATATCTGTTGAGGCATTCGAGTAAATGTAATTGTACGATTTGTATTGTAAAATGCGCTNCTGAATACGTTGGATACTTASTTAATATTAAGTATATTAACGCTTTGCTTTTTAGTAATTCCTACTGAAAATACTTCATTTGTTATATATGCATAGTAACTACAAAGTAGAGTAAAGATAATAGAAAAAAGTGGTCGAGTAAAAAAGTAAGACCATAAGATGTATTACAAAGTTTCTGCTTTTGTTTGATATTATTTAATTTTTTAAATGCAAAGTGTTAATAATAGGTTCATCGATTAGATCAAATATCTGTTGAGGCATTCGAGTAAATGTAATTGTACGATTTGTATTGTAAAATGCGCTTAGAAAAAGCCTCACAGCAGAGTTTAGGGCATGAAGAATGAAGAGGCATTATGCCGAAGAGGCTAAGGCCGAAGAGGCCCCCACTTAAATGTGGCTGAAGAGGGCAACTACTATTGAGGCTATTGAGTTATTTTTAAAGGTTCAACAGCAAGTTCGAACTCTTCGAAAATAGYTCTCTAGTCATATTTTATATTTTATTATATTACTGTTTTGCTCGTCATTAATTTGTAGTTTTAATTGGAGATGATGGACCATTCCATCTCCTTGGGACACCAAAKTAGTGTTCCTCAAAATCGTCAAAAAGATGCATATGTGTTYAGTTAGAGTCAAAAATATTAAAATTTTCGTATTATTAAATTTTCAAGCTTGAATAACGTTCAGTAAATATTACAGTAATTTCTATTTTCTTGTTTTGTCTTTAAGATTTTTCACTGTAATCGTATTTTATTAAATTTGCAATTTTTCTTTTTCGTAAAATGCAATTTAAAAGTATTTCATAATAATTATTAGATATTATTTTTTTTTAGTAATTTAATATTTTGTACTTTTCCTTATTTTTTTATATATATTTTATGTAAATGTAAAATCACGTGTTTAAATTTAATTTTATTGCAACAGTAAATAAGTAGAGATTTGATAAAAATAAATATAAAATTCAATTGAAAAGTGCATCTGCGAATTGGACGATTACTATGTCAGGCTATTGTATCACTTGATTGTATGATTAATATAGTTTTCTTTTTGTTACAGGTGATCATCATTGGTTTTAACATCAACTCTTTTTCATTTTTTTTGTATTAAATGACTACTATTTAAAATATGTAAATATATGCATTTCTGAAGGGCCACATATAAATACAAAATATTATATAAATATTTCAAATTTTATAAAAATTATAAGTTTGAATTATTTGTAAAATGTTCCAAAAATTTTTAAGGATTTCATTAATAAAAATATTTGTTATTTTATTATATTTTTTTATACATCGATACGAGATACATCGTTGATCAGCTTATTTGTATTTCAAGAGGAATATTAAATGTTTAATATTAAAAGGTGAGCTATCAACTATAATATAATGTTCAAATAATTATTCCATAGTTATTAAAATATTAATTATAAACAACTACACTTACACTCAACACTATCAAAATGAATATATAACAATGTGAAAATGATTTATTATTCAAACTTGTTTGAAAGAAAAAAGCTGAGATGTTTATTTGTCGAAATATAAAAATATAAATGACACAACTCAAATTTTAATATTTTATATTTTAATAAAAATATTTTTAATATTTTTACTTATATTTATTAAATTCACTTATTTAAATCATTCGATTGCTTTTTACTTTTCTTAGTTAAATAAAATATTATCTCATCATTTAATTGTATGAATTGGTTGAAGTAAATAACGAATTTACATAATTCATTCACCACATTTTTGTCCATAATATTTCCCATTGTAAAAATGTTAGGCTTCTGTTAAAACACGTGCGTTTGTTTACTTTAATTAATTTGATTTTGTCAATAGATAATACAAGCTCTTGTGCACTTTAAACTTGATTATAATATCAAGTAATGTGTTATAAATACATATTATTTATTTTTTTAATAATTCAAAAAACTTTAAAGTTATAAATTGATTTAATTAGCAATTGAAATAATCAAATGATAATAAAAAAAAAAGGAAAGAAAATGAACCTAGATGTTTCTAATTCCCTTCTTGTGCACTACGTGTCGCTGATGTTTTATTTTCAATTATTAGGTTATTTTCGCTAAAATATCTAATGTGATTTTAAATAACTCCGTAAACAATTAATATAATCGCACAAATGTAAGTTTATTGAGTAATCTCTTTGTACACCAAAGAAACAGTATTTTTTCTATTACATGTGATCGGTATTTTTGTTGATGATATATTTGATTTATCTGCATTCATCAATTTATTTCATTTTTCATTCAATATTAAATACAGTTTTATATCATGGATTTGAATGAAAAAATTAAATGGGAATTTATTAAAAATAATGTAAAGGATAGAATGATAGAATCATCATTAATTCATAGATTTAGTAAATCTAAAAAGTATAAAGAAAGTACCAAGTTATTAAATAAGTGGGTGCAAAATCATAAAAAAATTAGTTATACTAAGTATATGAAAGTGAAACGATCAATTAAAAAAAGGATATCGAAAGATGTAGTAATTAAAGACTATGATAGCTACGGGGAAGAGGATTATGTGATCGCACACACACAAAATCAATATAAAAGTAAGATAAAAAATAATCAAGCTAAGATATCTACAAATAAAGATAGTTTTAATTCTATTCCAATAATAACCATACTCGATGAAAATGAAATTTCATTCAATGATTCAAACTTATCAAAAAAAAGCGTAGAGAATACAAGCTTAGAATCAAGTACTTTACAGGATCAGGAGGAAATAATAATAGTGAGTATTTGTTGCAATTTAAGTCGACTTCAATTAATTTCACTCAATTTCAATTATTTTTCTACAAAATTATCATAGAATACCAAATCATTTTCAGATATAAATAATGCTGATACAGTTCCTGTAGTTGGAATAGAACAATCAGTAAGTTCACCTGAACAATACTTCACTCCAACTAAAAAAACACAATTGATAGATAACGAAGAGAAAAGATTTGTAAATACTACTGATACTAGTTCTCCAATTATAAAGAAAATAAAAACATCAAAAAAAGCATCCCTCAGTCATAAGCGTAATAATTCATTTATGAATGGTGAAAGAACTGGTGAAGAAATATTAGATCTAATTTCTGACGAAGAAGAAATAACAACGTGTCATTCCGACACATCGCATAATAATATTAACTCATTTGCTGTAGAAACACAAAGATCACCGGTTATAATTTCATCTACTGAAATTTCCAATAACAAATATAAAGTAATGAATAAGAAAGAATGTTGCCGTGACTTATGGAATAAATATAATGATGTTAGCGTTAAAGAAAAAAAAGAAGATGAACTAGAAGAAAATGTAATATTTGTCGAAAATACAAGTAACAGCAGTATTTTACCACTATCTGATAAACGTGTTAATCAAATTAAAAATTTAAACTTAGCTATAGAAAGTTCTTCAAGCGAGGATGAAGTTCAAGAATATGACGAAAATTCAAGTAACAAAATTTTGCCTAATAATTCAAACTGTATAACTAACAAAAAAATTACAACATACAATAAAAATATAGTTTCGATCGTAAAAAGTTCTTTAATTAAGAATGGAATAATAGAACTTAAAAAAAATGTAAATAAAAAAAGTTTACCTAACAATTCAAACTGTATAGCTGACAAAAATTTCGATTTAACTATGGAAAGTACTTTGAGTGAGGATGAACTGTTAAAAGGACAAAATTTAAACGAAGAAATTAATAATTCAAATAGTGTAGCTTCCAAAAATACAATACAAAGTAAATTAAAATTAAAGAGATCATCAAACGTAGATCATAAAAACGATCAAAGTATTTCTAACATACAGAGTAAAAATAATAGTATAAATCATAATGACAGTATTGATCATCGCAATAATGATTCCAAAAATTGTGAACAAATACAAAGATTTGATGGGATACCCGGCAATGTAAGATTAATATTTTACAAAGATTTACATAGATATAATTAACTGTATAAAATTGATTAACTTTTTGTTTTAGCTGCAAGACTTGATCAATAAAGAAAACTTAGTTCTTGACTCAACTAAATCAACTTTTACACTTGAGGATCTCTCTCAAGACAATGAAATATTTCTTTTAAACATTCCAAGTACAGTATGTATTATATTAACGTACATCGATCAAAATTATTTATCAATAATTAGATTTTTGTAGTAAAAAATGTAACTTCTAATTTTGATATAGATAAAACTAACAGATTTAAAAGGCCAACAATTGGTTTTAAAAAACGAAAAATTAAAACTTGGGAAAAACCAATATAGAATTTCGTATAAAGATGTACCATCTCAATCCTGTGTTTTCGCTACTCACAGAAATAATAAATCATATAAATTAGGTATGTAATACTTTTTCAGATGTACAATGCATTACATATATTGAAACATAATGTGAACATTTAAATAATATTTTTCAGTTAACATTAAACCTACCAGCTCGATCTTAGTGAGAGAAAAATTATCTCCACCATCGTTTTTATAAAAAAAAATACAAAGACTTTTAATATTACATGTATTAAATAATGTATGAATCTTATTGCATCAGTACCGTATTTATTAAAATATTGTAATTACACACACACACATATATTGAATGTTTTTTTATTTTAGTATCAGAAATAAAATAAGATTTAACCGATGATATAATAATATAATAATAATGATTAATATAATATTTTATACAACACATATATATATATAAATAAATATATAGCTGTTTTATCTCCTTACGATAGTAATATATTTTTAAAAAGTAATTATTTTGTTGGTTATGATTATGTTTGCTCGTAGAAAGATTGATACAAGCAATTATGTAGAAATTCTTTTACTTTTGAGGTTGATCGTTTGTTTATGTTTCATATACACATCGCTTAAAAATGTGTGTGTGCAATAAGTAAGCAGTATAGAATTCATTTATTAAATAATAATAGCTTCTTGTTCGTGCCAAAAATATCCCAACATACGATCGTAACGGTAAAATTGCTTTATTTTATTCGACCGTAAAGAGTTATCACAGTATTGTACAGAAAGGTTATGTATCTCATACGTAGTTCTGTGTGCAAAGTTCGGTTTTAAGAAAAAGTTTAAATAATATTCTAAAACTCTCTCTCCAATATATATATATATATATTAATTAATTAATTATTTATTTGATATTATGTATATAACATTAAAAG